TTCTCTGAGGTGCAGTGATCTGTAATTGACACATTTTCAAGATAAACTCTCAAACTGATGCACAGGTTGGACATCTATTGAGAAACTGTTCATAAATAAAGACAGTAAATGTAGTTTACATCATTCTTACTGAGAACTAACAGGGAAAAAGATGCAACACCAGTTTTTCGTTGACCATTAGCCTAATTGGAAACGATTACAGAATTTCCTTAAAGACTCAAGGACAGTTTGTCTGTATTCTTCACTTTTGTTTTTCAATTTCATGCCCAAGCAGTCAACCCATGTTGCAGGGTGTATTGCAGCGTTCAGTCTGTGTGAGATTTATAGGAGCAATATAAGTGATAACTCCTTCTTAATGTCTCCAGTCCCTCCTCTGTCTCCACGCTCTGTGTTGTTCAGCTCACTTTCATGTCCCGCCTTTATGAATCTCAGAGACTCTCTGAAGACCCTGCTGCTGCCACGCAAAGACTGCTGGTAGAAAAATATATAACTGGTACATATTTCAACCATATAATACAATTACATAAAGAATATTTTTGGTGGCATCATTTCCAAAGCACAAATCTGCAAAATTGTAGGCATTCCAACTGTGAAACTTGATCTTCCTTAGAGCTGTCTGCTGTCCAAACAACTTTGCTTGAATAGAACATTGCAAATCTAATAGTCCGTCACGAACTTGGATACACAAGGTAAAGGACTCAAATGCACGACCCGGGAGACAGAGGTAAAGTATGAGTAAATACTTTATTTTCAAAATAGGAATACAAAAAAAGATCGACACTCTTAAACGAGGTGAAAAAAGGCACAAAAGAAAATCGCTCACTAAGTGAGGAACAAAACTTACAAAGTAAATCAGGAGCATGAATCAGGCTTGAGATAAGATCAATAATTGCTGGTACGCAGACTACTGACATGGAGACAGGACAAGACGAACTGACACAAGACAAAGGAAGGCTGGGGAATTTAAAGGGGACCTATCATGCAAAATGCACTTTTGTACGTCTTTTATACATGAATATGTGTCCCCGGTGTTCCAGGGAACTCACCAAGTGTCAGAAAACACAACCCTCTCTATTTTCCTCCATACCCAAATCTCTAAAAAAGGGGCTGCAACGGATCTGATAAAAACTGATCCAGATTTGAACACTTTACTGACGTCAGTAAAGTGGCGCTACGGCTATTGGGCCAACTCTCCACCTATCAGGGGAATGTGGGGATGGGCCACGGCCGGCCATTGCCGCTCGAAAGCGCTGGAGACGCTGTAGTACATATACCAGGCCTGTAAGTGGCGCTGTAGTCTGCCACAAAAGCAGCGAAGAAGTCTTCCCGCCCATAGTTACCATGGTTACCCTTCTGTTTATTCTCCGCTGTGGCTTTTTTTCTCCCTCCCCGAGGCAAGCGTTTGCTCCCGCTGCTTTAATTCAATGCAATCCCTCCCCGTCGAGGCAAGCACTGTAATTCTCTCCGGTTAGTCCACCAGCAGATGACAAACACCCACCTCTCTGCCTCTTCCAAGGAACGAGGGGACCGTGCGGCAGAGTTTCAATTTCAGTTTCTTTCGCCGGTCAAGATGTCCGTTAAAGTTTAAATCTTCCGGACAAAATTAGAAAAGTGCCGGTCAAAGGTCTTCTTTGTTATTTATTGAGCTTTAAAACAAATGAATAACGACTCTATAGGCCTATAATAATATAATAAAACACGGAGGACGGAGATCTTTTTTTCTCCCCCTCTTGACTTGATCAGAGCACGGCTCCCCTCTCCTGCAGGGGGGCGTGGTCAGCTGCAGCTCACAGAATCAGCCCCGTAGACAGCAAACAGCACATAGAGCGAAATGAGGCATGGCTAAAATGCATGATCTGTTTGGTATTTTGAAAACAGAAACGTATTACCTTATATAGGTATGGCCCTACAATATATCATTTAAATATACCATGATAGGTCCACTTTAAACAAAAGGTAATTGGCACAGGTGGAAACAATCAGGGGCGGGGCTGACGCTGATGAGAGCGGGAGACACACACAAGGATAGGGAATGAAGGGACCTGGAATGAAACACAAAAGGTGAGTACCAAAATAAGACAGGAAGTGGGAGACAAGACAAAAAATGATTAAACATGAAACATGACTGAACTCAGCACTTTTGACGGGACACAACATAGTCAATATTAATAGTTCACAGTTTAAAAGTCTGTAATATAAAACTATTTCTGTTTTCAGTTCTACTTCTAATTCTATCAGGCCGACATGATCTGGTTTATTTTTTCTATTGGAAATGTTAGGGTCTGCAAAGTCTGGCTAGTGTTTCTTTAAGTAGCGAAGGCCATGGAGCCTTTATGACTCATATAGTTACTCTTTATCGCTAAGTGTCTGCTAATCTGTGCATACATTTGTTATTAAGACAATTGTCATGGGGTCCTGTCAAACACCTGACTGTCTGTCATGTTTTTATTTATGTATTTGTATCTTTTTCTGTTTTCAATATGGAACGTACCCATTCCTGTTAGTAGTCATGAGTGATGCAGTATTGAGTGTAAAAACCCAGAAAAAAGTAAGCATTTCAGCACTTCTGGTTTCCTGGTGTTGAAGTCAACCATTTCTAATGTTTTTGCTTAGATTCCTGAAATAAGGTCTGTTGTTGAAACAAGCTTGAGAGATTTTCACGCTTTGTCCTATGACATAAAATACATCAGTAATTATCCCCTTGATGTATTCTATTTGACGGTGCAAGAGGTTCTCCTGATGGCATGGCCAATGGTATCTGAACGTGTGTATCTTAGCTTCCTAGAGCAAGTGGCGCAATGATCCGTGTGAATTGGTGAACGATGACTTAAATGTAGCAAAGACCGGAAACAGTGGAAAATAAATAAAGTCAGTTTACCATTCTATGTGTCATAAAACGGCGGTTGCTAACAAGTGACTTTATGAGACTACTACCCATCATCACAGCGAACATTTTTTATTTTTTATTTAACCTTTATTTAACCAGATAAAAACATTGAGATAAAATCTCATTATCAATGCTGACCTGGCCAAGAAGGCAGCAACGTTACACATAACACATAACAAAAACATATAAAATACAGAGAACATAACAAAGAAAACAAAAGACGAAAAAGCAGTCACTACATTGTGCACATTAGGACAATAAAAAAGTACACTACTTGTTACTGCAAGAGCAGCTGGTGGTGAGGACTTCAGACAACTTCAATTTAAAACATGATATAGAGACAAGTGCCGTCAGTTTGAGGCGTGATTGAAGGTCATTCCAAGACCAAGGACCATAATAAGAAAGACTCCTTTTTCCAGCCTTTTCCAGAACATCAGTCGCCTATAGCTTAGTGGTGTTGAAGTGTAGTCATGCAACCGGCATGCAGTTGTTTTTAGGCTAAAGTTAGCTTTTTACTTCTGGCTAGTGCATGTACACTTAAAAAAATATAAAAGTGGTGGTGATATGTGGAGATTATCCTGCTGAATGTATTAATATAAGCCCTGTTTCAGTTTGAGTAGCCTTTAAAATTTGGATAGGACTTAATACAATTTATTCAGCTGTTTCCTAAAATATATCTTATTCAGAGAATTTCTGATAAATTACTAAGTAAATTGCTCCTGGTAATATGTTTTTCTCTGTGTTGCTGTAGAGCTAAATTATTCATTGCACTGTCTTGCACTTATTGAGGCGAAGTGACGGTACGCTGCTGCTTCAACCTCAGCTTCGGCAAATCATTTTCCTTTTCGCTGGACCATACTGCAGGGAACTAAGCCACGTGTCAAAACAAAGAACTGTGCAGTGATTTTGTTTTATATTCCAAAGTCATGTCAGAACATAAACATATATGAACAACTGTCTGACGGTGTGTCAGTAATTGGAAACAATGAGGAGCTATTAAAGCAACACATTGCACTTTTAGCACCTACCTTACAAGAGAACAATATGGGTTGAGGAACAAAAGAGAACACTTGAAAAGACGGTGAAAGTGAGTTGGTACTGTTTTCCAAAAGAGAGATAACTCACTCACTAACAGGTTATATAAGTTCAAAACGTAAAACAGGGTTTTCTTAAATTTGATTATTTCTAATGAATATTTATTGGCCAAAGTAGAAATTATGTATTAATGAGCTTTGGGTGCTCAGGGCACACTCTTTTAAAATGTTGGGTCGAAGGTTTAAAAAGGAGAACCTGATTAATAAAAAAATTAAAAAGCACCCAGATTTATTATGGTCAAATGGATTTCATTTCTTAGTTTTCTGTTGTGTTTTGTAATGTTTTAAAGGGCTAACGCACAGTTTTCAAGTCATCCAACAATTGATGACAGAGAGAATGAATATTTAATCTGAGAAAAAGGTAGGTGCAAATGTACAGAACTGTTCAAAGGGAATGTAGGAGTGCTGGGAGTAAATGCAACTCTATTGCAATAGAACGTAAAACTTATAGTAAAAGCGTTGCAAGGCCTTATTGTTCCTCTGACACTTGTTATACTTTCTCCACCATCTCCAAACTCCATAAGAGTGGCATCACACAAAGTTTCATGGCTCCATATGTGCAATAACAGAAATACATTTCATTTTTACTGAAGAAAAACTCCTTTTGGGAAAACAGCATCCTTTGGAAAGTTTCATTTCCAGCTGATATTAGCTCATAAGTTAGAACTGTGGTCTGCTTGCTGTCTACGGATCTATAACTCCCGACTGTAATTCTGGCTCTTTCTTTCTCCGTGTCTGTGGGCATGATTGCTCTGTTACATTTCATACAGCAGCAGTGTGGTGTTTCACGAGGAAAATAATACATTGTGTTTCTGTGAAAAGATGTGTACTCTACCAAACATCAGGGACCCCATTACCTTCCCATGTTGCCGCGGATTATATGGATCAGATATTGAAAAAAACAACAGTATTATCCATCTAATGCACTTTTTGCACCCCTATTACTACCCAACTCATCATTTTCTCTTCATTCTCCTTCCCCTTCCCCTCACCCACTACCTCTCTCTATGTCTCTCCAGGGCCAGTATTGTCCAGAAGAAAGTCATTTATTTCCAGGATGAAGGCTCTCTCACGATCCCACTGTGTGAGAAAGGTAATGACAGCTGCCCATCATGTCCCCATTCTTCCATGATGGCTGCTTATCTTTTCATCTTTGACCGCCCATTATGGTTCCATTATCCCCTTGTTTTATCCCTTTTTTTCCCCCTATTTTGGAACAAAACAGCTCCCAGTCTTTTATACCGTGTTAAAACAAATATGAGGCCAGTGGAGAGAAACTGTGAGGACAACGGATAATGGATCTCATGGGAGTCCATTTGGATGTTAAATATTCCTCTGTAGTTCATCACAGAGCAGCAACATAGCTTTTATGTTACCTGTGATGTCACGCCAGATTTGGAAAGCTGTCTGCTCCCAAATGAAACACTTCTGAGACAGACCATTTTAGCTCTGATGCACACATTTATTGTACAATAAAAACCAAATCCCAGACAAAGTGTTTGTCTAAACTTTATCTCAGGGGAATCTCACTTTAATAAAATCTTCCTCTCCTTGCAGAAATCTAATTTTCCGGGCTATTATGCAAGCCAATAAAGCCTCTCCGTTTCAATTTGCTGTCAAGTGAGGCGCCTCCAATGTTTGACTCATCCTGCCATAACTTAAGTGTGGATTTTTTATAATTTGGGGACTCATAAATATTCAAGCACTCTCCTTGACCTATCTTTCAAAAACATCGGTCCAGGCCAATCTTTGAATATTCATGAGACTGCGCCAAGGCTAATGTGTTATTTAAATAGAAGTTTATTCAGAGGAGGTAATTTGGTGACATTCTCCCTGGGTCCAAATTGAAGTCATTTATCAGGTAATGTATGCAGGTACGCATTAGTGTCAAAGCTTGCTCTGGCTGGTCTTTGTTTGTCTGTCAGCCCCTGAACTGTGTTTACTGTCATTATTTTTGCCTTGTGCATCTTGTCTGCCGTTAATATGAGTGTGTTGTCCTATCTTGTCTCCCTGTAGAGCGTGTGTTCGGTGAGGCCACAGAAACTCCGGCTATAGAGTGCTGCGCCTGTGGAACAGCCAAGTACAGACTGACCTTCTTCGGCAACTGGTCAGAGAAAGTACATCCCAAAGACTACCCAAGTAAGTTCAAACCATTGACTAGTCAAAACAGAGTCAGGACACGGCAATCAGAATAATAAGATGGGTTTTGTTTGAAAACCAAAAAATTATACCAAAAGAGGCATATTGGGTTTCTTGTTGTGAGTAAGATCTAAAATTAGAGCTAAAGTTAGAGAGTCACTATAGATTCGGCTGTTAGCGCATTTTACTTAATGATAAAGAAAAAAATGACTATTTTTGTTTTCCATTGGGTAGTTGATTTCGCTCAGATTTTTTTTTTTGCTGTTTTACTGATGTCTCTTTCCCTTAAGTACCCCATGGGAAAAGTATTTTTTGGCCCAATGACATCAAGTGGCTGACACAGAAGTTGTAGTACCACTGTTTGGCCACTGTAGAAATTTGCTTCAATGTCCGGCTCACTTCCTTTGGGCTTGGCTCAGTCGCAGTGACTTCTGCTTGTCTCCACTAGTTGCAAATGATGACCAACCAACTGAAAAGAACAGTTTATCATCTTTCTTTGAAAATACTGATAAACAGTCTTCAGGCACCCAGCTATCTACTTATTCAATCAGCTGATATTCACTCCCTTCTGAGTAAAATAACCTAAATGTCTTCCAGGACGAGCCAACCACTGGTCGGCTCTGATTGGTGCGTCTCACTCCAGAAGCTACGTGCTGTGGGAGTATGGGGGCTACGCCAGCGAGGGCGTCCGTCAGGTCGCTGAGTTCGGCTCCCCCATCAAGATGGAAGAGCAGATTCGACAGAAGGTAGGGTATCAGATGGAGCCTCTGCGGGTTCTCATGTCTGATGTAACGGCACTATTTCCATGTCTTTCCATCTGTTTTTCTGACCCCCATGTGTTAGTGGTAAAAATGGAATGCACAGAAAGGCTCCAACCATTATGAGTGCATGCAGAATGTAGATACAGTATCATCATTATATGTGCTCATGCCAACCTGCCATTTGTCAGGGCCTATTATAACATACTGAGAGGTTAATGACAGGCTGAGGCAATAAGAATCCAACGCACACACACACACACACACACAGCAACCAATGAATGCAATACAGTGAAATTCTCATTTCCACATCAGCAAAGCATTTACATGGCAACGCAGGACGTCCTCATACTCTCACCCTCTCATTATCTTTCTTATTAAACCATCAGCAGACTTCTTCTGAGTTAACTATGCCTTTAGGGGTTCGATATTTTTGGAAGGCATCCACAAGATTACACCGTGAAAGGACAGGCTGTTGGCTGAGTGTGTGTGTTTGCAAAGAAAAATGGAACATACCCCTGACTGGAAAGCATGAAAGGATACAGCTAAGAAGAGTGTCTATTCAAATACTTAAAGGATGGTTAAAATGAGAAAGTGTGTACTGTGAGACAACAGAAATTGACAGATATATTGCTATACAATTTATAGAATGTGCTTTAGCTAGACCTTTACAAATATAAAATGAACACTCAGTTTTATGTCAGGGTAACACTGTGGACGGGCATACAGTCATAATAGACCAAATACATTACTTGCCCAACAACCCAACCTCAGTATGTTCTCGAATTAGCTTCATCACTAGTCAAATAAACAAACTATAATTTGTAAAATACTAAGCATGTTATCAATTATGGGACAGCCGACACACTATAACTATAAACTGAACCTTTCTCACATATTACACTAGAAGATTAAGGAAAATTGACTCTGGCAGGGATTTGGTGTATAAGCGGGAAAAACAAAGCGTCCATTTGGCATTTTCGGAGATTCATACCAATCCTAAAACTTTGTGCAAATTGAAAGTGTTCTTTGGACACATACCTTTACTGTAGGTTCTCGACAAGAGTGAGGCGGCCAAAACTGTGTTGTACATTTCCAATGTAATCACTCAAAGTTTATCAACTGGCGGAAATATTTGTATATTTCTAATGACACACATTTCACTCAATAGGAACTCCAAATGTTCATTGACACTTGATATTTGGTCAGGATCTGGGGATCAAACCTCCAAACAGGTGATAAATAAGCTGCTCGCTGTATATACTGAACTATAGCTGTACATGGAATTAATGTAATTATGATTTAGGCCTTTGAAGGGAGTGTTTCCTAAAGTGAATAGAACTGATTTCTGGATCTATAGCATTCTTAAGATATTACCTTACGATTGCCGAATTTTCTCAAGTATTTCATTTTCTTAAAGTATTCGTTTTTTTTGTTCTCTTAAATCAACCAGTCAAATATCAAACAAAATGTGTATATATTGCCCAATATAAAAAATTACACATTTGTCTCAAGTGGCTTTACAATGAGTACAGAATACAACACACTCCGTCCATAGGTCCTCGCATCATGCAAGGAAAAACATCCACATATCCACACAAAACATCCAGGATAACATAAAGATAAAGAGAAAAATAAGTAGGAGAAGAAAGGTGAAAGGTAAAAGGGAAAACTCTCCTGATACTGACAGTCTAAGCCTATCTAGCAGCATAACCAGGGGCTGGTTCAAAGCAAGCCTAAGCCAGCCCTATTTATAAGCTTTATCAAAAAGGAAAGTCTTAAATCTGCTCTTAAAAGTGGAGAGGTAGTCTGCCTCCCAAACACAAAAGAAACCAGTTCCCAGTTTTACCAACAATTTCCAGAACATGGAACATTTCACAATACACAATATTTAAGTGTCATCGAATATATATTGTTTTTTTTCCTGATTGACCAACCCTAATCAGCATATGCTTCATTTAAGTGTTCTGAGGCCAACGGTATATAGCTGTCTCTGTGTGTCCTCATGCTGAGTGTCCTCTCCTTTTCTCTGGCCTCTGAAAGGTGTGTCCTGGCCATTTGCAAGGGAACAATGCTGTGTTGTTAGTGGGCTGTCAGTTTGGTGTGTGCCTGTCAGTTTAGCTTTGGGCTGCTGTGTGGAGACATCAGAGGCTGACGGACAGCCCTAACTCCTCTCTTGGCGGGCTCTGTCTGTCTCTGGGGCTAACTACCCTGACACAATGGAAACCTCAGCCTGATACACAGCAGAATGACATGGCTTGATTGTGTACTTTAAACTGGAATGTTAGCTATTGAGCTCTGAAATGAAACAGCTCGATTGCACACTTCACACTGGAATGTAAGCTATTGAGATGTTGGGCTTTCTAACAGGGGGTCTTCGAAACCTTTTTTAAATTCATGAATGAAAAGGTTTTATGTTCCATTCACATAGCAAAATATAGACCCTACAATTGGTTCTGTCTTTTAAACACAAGAAAATCGAAACTGATAAGTAGGTTGCCGTATTGTTTTCCATTTAAGAAGCAGCGTTGACCCCAAATCCAAGAATACAAGAAATCTAAATCTTTTATACTGCATTTTAAAAGATTTTGAATAATAGAACAATATACATATTAACAATTAACTCGGTGGCCGAGTCAATAATATAGGTCCAGTATATGTCGGATCTCCTGCCGAAATGCAGGAAAAGAGCATTTGAAAATCACTGATAACCACTTTATCTTTCCTCACTAAGGAAAACACATATCTTATATTTGTATTTGATAAGTACAAAATCCAAAATATCTAAACATTGATCTTCTTTTTTTGGACATATGTGTTAGCTTTAAAGTTAAAATAGTGAGTAAACAAGTATTGTACCTAATGTACTACATCAAAATAACATTGTCTCACAAGCATATCTGGTAATTGTCACAGTACAGTATTTCACATAAATCCAGTTCAGACAGAGGTTGCAGCATGACAGATGGCCTCTGGCAGTTACAATGATCATAAGGTTATTAGAAAACATGACTCATAGGTGATGATTATTCAAAGGATTTGTCTCATAGAAAGCATCCAAACATCAGAGAATGGCTGAATGACTATTTTCCTTCAAATATTCCAGCATTTCTGTGTGTCTTCATCCAAACCTTAACCCTTATAGGGTTCAAGGTTCAAGGGTCAAGGTTCTTTATTTGTCAAACGAACATAGCTACAGTGTAGTTATGTCGATGAAAATCTTGTGTCACAGGCTTCTCCAACAGTGCAACACAAAACACAGATAAACAGAGAAATATAGTGCAAGTAAATATTAAATACAAGAAGAAAATAGTTTAAAAAAGTGAAATAGTGAAATAGTGCAATAAGAGTCTATATGCAAGTCATTGAAATATGATATATTAGGTAAATAGATAAATAATTTTTAAGTAGCAGCCAGATGAATATTGTGGATGTTGTTTCAACAGTTCAGGTGTTTAACAGACTTATTGCCTTATAGTATCAACCTTTAGATAAAACAATTAAGGTTAATGATTGTTGAAAGAGATATTATTCATGGTTTTAGACACAAACTAAAGCATACACATTGATATCTTATTCCTTTTCTGGGCCTTCTATGTTCAGACTGGCTGAACACGCAGTGGTTGCTGTAAAGGTGGGAACCCGACATGGGTCAGTAATCCCTGTTTTAGCTGAGAATCCCAACCATCCAGAGGAGCAATCAGCTGTGGTGATGTGTGGACAAAGCCTTAAGACCCACCTCTCCAGCACCAACTAACACAAGCCTGATCCCAGCACAAGACAAGCAGACAGACAGGCAGAAAAACAAGGAGAGTTCTCACTGTCATGATGTGAGAACATGCCAAAACACCACCGTCAGAGAGTGGCCTCTTCAAACGTGTCAGCACACTGCAGGAAGACGTCATGTTGGTGAAGAAGTCATGAGGCAGCATTTATTACCCAATGAATTACTCCCAGGTATAGTCTGTTAGCAAGTATTGAGACGCTGAATCGCTGTTGACACAAAAGCCTGCTCTATCTTGTGTTGTTGAATTGGTTTTGTTTCCATTACTGTGCAAAATCTTGGCCTGTTTAACTTGGCCATCATGCAGTCCGTCAAATCCTCCTTGCATGTTAGCACAAAGGCCCGCTGGACAGGGCCAGACATGCGAGAGCTTGTGGAAAATATGTGTGATAAAGTTCATTTTGAAAGGCTTCAGGCACACATCAGTTCATTCCACAGCAGGCACAGCACACCGGCTGAGTCACAGCTCTGACTGCTCTATGAAAACAGATCTCCCTAAATGCTGACACCAATGAGTTGGCAGCATTCAGCAACAGGTTTCCACATGCCGAGATCCTAAAATGCTTTTGTCAGTTCACTGAAGCTGTCAGAAGGTGTGCATCCTTTTTGGACAAATAAGAGCTGCATGGTGTCCACACTTGCTGTATAAACTAGATGTGCTCGAATGAACAAGGTTTTAACTAACCATTTTGTTAGTAGTAGCACATTGGTAGTTTTTGTTTAATATCATCATTAATGGCTCCAAATTTGTAAGCAAAGCAAACGTTACTGTTTGAGAATCCTTAAAAATTGCAATTGCCATTTTAACATGATTCCTTTTTGAACCAATTGAAAAACTGATTTACAACATGAATTTAGGAGGTGCTGGTAGCTGCTCCCCGCTTTTAGCCATCAGGCTAGGCTAAGATTACATAGCTACTTGCTATTGCTGTCCATATAGGCGTAATGGTATCAATCTTTCATGCTACCTCTCAGCAGAAAAATGAAAACATATTTCCAAAAATGTTAAACTATTGCAGTGATTCCCACAGGATTTTGAGATACTAGTTGGTGGATTGTGGTGTTCTAGGGGGCATGCTACTCCGGAGGATTATTTTATTAGTTAAACGCACTAATCTGGTGAACCTTAAAGGGGACTTATTATGTATCAACTTTTTCATGTCTTTTATACATCAACATGTGTCACTTCTGTGTGAAGAGATTC